TTTTTCTAATATAATTTTTTTTTAAATTTCAATTAATCCTCTTTAATTTCGATTAATCCTCTTTCTAATCCCATGATCTCTCGTTTTTAGTTTTCCACTTTTATAGCAATTAAAAATAATTTATAGCACTTGATTTTTTTTCTCCGGTTATTAGCATTTAAAATTTTTTCTAATACAGAAGTCAATTGATAATTTTGGGAATGACATTTGTCATTCACTTTTTTCTAATATAATTTTTTTTTAAAAAATTCTAATTAATCCTCTTTAATTTCGATTAATCCTCTTTCTAATCCCACGATATCTCTTTTTAGTTTTCTTTCATAGCAATTAAAAATAATTTATAGCACTTGATTTTTTTTTCTCCCATTATTAGCATTTAAAAAATTTTAGATCTAGCAAATTCATAACCTCCTCCACAATCTTTGTTTCAAATATTTTATAGTCATGTTATTTGTATTTTTTTAAGAAGAAAATAGAAGAAATTAATTAAAGAAAAAAAATATTATTAGATTTCTTTTTTTAAATAAACCGTGTCCCTCCCTAAATTTTATTTGTTACTTTTGTCTCTATCTCTTCTCTTTCAGTTTGTCACCCAATATTTTAAAAATCGGATCGGTAACCAAACCAAAAAAGTTTGTAGATCGTAAGTTGATATGGTCCTACCAGATTCAACCGAATTTATTTTTCAAAATATATTATAATTAGTTTTATAGTACTCTTCAGTCTATGATTATATCTCATAAATATTTAACCAACATAATATCAAGCAAGATTTTTTGTAAAATATTTAAGTAATTATAACATTTGGAATAATTATGGCATTTACAAAAAAAAATATACTTCAATATTTAAGATTTAAAAACAATAACAAAATATGATTATAACAAATGAGATAGACATGTAGAAGTACATGTCTAAATGTTATTAGTTTTACAAATTCTATATCTATTTTCTTTTCTTTTTTAAACATAATTAATCAAAAATAAAAATAGAAGGAATTTGCCAGATCTAAAATAATAGAAGATATCATATTTTTTTTTTGTTTAAATTTGAAAATCTCAGATTTAACAAAGAGTATTTGTGGACAAGGCCTCCAAAAATTGAAGACGTTCATGATCAAAATTTTCCTGTCGCTTACCTTTTTCTTATAATATAAAAACTAAAATCGTTGTTTCACCAGTTAATGAACGTGTTTCCAATCTGCTCGACATGAATTCGGGTTTAGTATTCACAAATCAAATCTAAGGTTAGTTGTTATTTCATTTCGTTTTTGGTCTTTCAAATATATAACTAAGCCGTATTTTGTTCTATACGTTTGATTCAATTTGCAAACTGGATGTTTTGAAACTAATGAAATTTAGTAGTCATAAGAGGCTATTTAACATATTCTCATTCATCAGAATTAAAATCATTTGATACTATTTTGTAAAAAAATTCACTTGAAAAATTCAAGTTTTTTATTTTCTTAAATTTGTTTTTTTTTCATGAATATAATGATTTTATGTTTAAAAAAAAATACAATTGTATGTATGAATAAAATGAACTAAATGCACATTGTTCTTTAAAAACACACACATGAACAATTTTTATTTTTTAAAATTAAAAATTTTGTTGTGTCTAAGAAATATTTTGCCCCTGCATAGCAGGGCCATAGTAATGTTATAATGCAAGTTCATAATATCACGTTGATATAAAAAATACAAAAACAAATTTAATGGTCAAGATATTTGATGTCGTTTTGGATTTTGGAAACGTGGGACTACGTAATGATTTTGAAAAAAAATTTGTGACACCCGATCCCTTATCACTTTGAGCCCTAGGTCTGGTGCCCTAATTTGCTCAACAAGCAACATACCTGCACAAACTAAAAAGGAAAAAGAGGGGTAAGTAATTCCGGGAAGAAATTACTCAGTGAGATTGCTACCCACAARAACTCTAATACTTGGAAACAATAGGCAATCAAACACATTAAACCAGACATAGAACATGCATCACCCAACTGATTATTAGCAACATAACATTCACAACTAGCATCTCTACACCATAATCTCTTTTACTTATATATTAACTCATACTTAAACTATCCACTTTTCACA